TACTTAAGTAAAAGTAAATAAGTACTTGCATTTAAAAATACTTAAAGTAGTAAAAGTACTTGCTGAATGTATTACCTAATGCGATGGTCTACAATATCAAGTGTGCCTACCATATGCATATTTTCTGTAATACATTAATAGTGTCGAGCCATTTTAATGAACAATGCTGCAGATAATACATGTTTTTATTGTGTTTACTCTGTGACACCGTTCACACTTGGACTTGTGATTCTGTGCGTCAGAATTTCAGGGATGACCTGCAGAGTTAAATGCCATTAAGCAAAATAAGAAAGAGGAATGATTATACCTTTTTAAAGTTTTTATTTAACACAAAGCAAAACCAATGTGTTATTTTAACTGCAGTAAAACATTTAAGTAAAAGTTGTCTGAAAAAAGAACCATTAGACCTGACAAAGGAATATCTGATCATTTCAACTCCAGTTTGTCATCAGATCTAGTTAAAATACTGTCTAGTCAACCTTGTAATGGGTCAATATGAACAATATTTTAACTTCCTGACACCATTTTCAAAACTTGGACCTGAGTGTCGAGCCATTTGGAGAAATCTCTTGTCTCCTGTCCTAACATCCCATGAACTGACACATTTTAATATTGCAGCAAGAATTTCTTGTTCAAGTTCAGAAGAAGTTGGTTTTCAAATTTTTTCGAGTCCAGTCTGGCTCTTCTGGGAGAGAATCTGTCCTGCTGTACTGAACAGTCTTTCAATAGTCTTTCAATAGTCTTTCAATAAGGCCATGGGTGGTGCGCATCTTCTGGCTGACTTTCCGTGGTGGAATCCATTTTGAGTGTATTAATGGTGCTGTGGGTGCACCCAGCTCAATGACGTACATACTAGAAGATGCGTCACTGTCCCAGCTCTTCTTGAAGGTGGGTCTAACTTTACCTGCCCACTTTGCAGTGATTCAATGGACCAACTCCCCTCTCCCCATTGGTTACTTTCAAACTAACAAACAAATAAAAAAAAAACACAACGTACATGTAACGTGTAACACAACGCATTGTAGAAATGTAGTGTAGTAGAAAGTACAGATACTTAAAGTAAAATGTAGTAGAGTAAAAGTAGAAAGTACCCACGTTTAACTCTACTTAAGTAAAGTATAGATACATGAGAAATGTACTTAAGTGCAGTAATGAAGCACTTGTACTTAGTTACATCCCACCACTGGAAACTGGAGTACCCGGAGAAAACCCACGCATGCACGGAGAGAACATGCAAACTCCACCTAGAAAGATCCCTCGGCTGGGAGTCGATCCGGCGACCTTCTCGCTGAGATGCAACAGTTAAAGCAACTGTTCCACCGTGCTACCAAACATTTCTCCCTCAATTTTAAACATTTGTTGCGAGTGGTGCCTACCTATCATAGAAACACCTCCTAAATATATGAAATATGTTTTACGTTTGATTATAATAATGTCAGATAATCGTTTTTTCATGTTTAATCCAACTAAACATTTGTGTTGCGATACACCACTGGCTGCCCGTGCGTTATGTGTCTGGACCTCTCACTCTGCCTTCAACAAAGAGAAGTGATTTCTGAAAAAGTTTCCCATCAGAACAATGTTACGACTTCCCACCCACTTTAAATAAAGTGTTGAACGAGTTTAAGCATGAAGAGGCTTTACTCTGCCGTTCTTTGGGTGTCCTTGTTTAATTGTAATTCTGAGATAATTCAAAAAGTTTTCAGCTGGCTCTAATTACTGTTTGTTTGTTTTTTTTAAATCTGTGAATGAGAAAATAACTTAATACATAATCATTACAACCTTTTCATTTCCAATCCTGAATGCTTTCAAAAGGCTGTATATTTGTTGTTCGTCACGAAACAATAGAATGTGAGATGAGCTCTCAGAGTAAATGAACTTTACAATTATAGGATAAGCACCTTTTGTTCTTATAATTTACTTAAACTGTGTTATATGTTTTGAAAAGTTAAACCCAATTTCGACTATTATGACAAGAAAATGAGATACAAATTGGCTGAAAAGACCTACGTGCCTGCAAACGTGCACTTATAATTCACTGAGAGCTAATTAACGGAGCACAGATTATTTTTCTAATGAAGGACAACGAAGGGTATATATTCTGCATGACTAATTATCCCCACAAAGTCACCTCATGTTATCCTGAAATAAATGAGTGTATTTAGCATCCTGGAGAAATGATGACTCAGCTCTCATATTCCAGTGGCATGATTTGAGGTATGCAGTTAACCTTTGCTAGAACGAGTAAGCTGTGCAGAACGTGTTGCCACGACTGTCTGGTCCTACTCAAAGTGGGCCCATTTTACAATACATTAAACTTTGAGTGAATACCCGTGCACTGCTATAATCCGCTAATCTACAAAGTAGCTTGGTGGATATTTACTCTGAGAAAATCATTCTGAATGAGGGAACAAAAAGACATGAAGCTGTTTTTAAGGAGTACATTTAAAAGATACAGGGGGATTACAGTTTACAATATGCAAATTCAGAACTACTAGAAAAAAACTTTTGTGCATTAGTAAGTGGAGTCAAACTTTGGAATAATTTGAAAATTGATTTTAGACAATATCCAAACATAAAACTGTTCAAATTATCATATAAACATATGATTGTTGCTGGATATAATGTATACCAATAATAATATTATTCAATTATTGTTCATGTTTTTGTTATTGATGCTAGATTTTTTTTGGTGAAGTAAAGTACATAATACATTTTTATCTACTGTAGTTAACTTAAATAGATACTATGTTGGGTTAAATATGGGTTAAGTTGTTATATGTATGGATTATACATGTAATATGTGTAAAATCATGTAAGTGGTTAAGGAGTGGGAATTTGGATAAGTTCTTCTACCCACTCCCTTGAATATGTAAAACACAAAGTTTTGACATTATGCTGTATTTTTTCGTTTGTTTTCTTACATATTCAAAAAAATAATAAACTAAAACTAACTTAAACAGGACTCATGCATCAGGAGTCACTTTGACCAACAATCTGCTGGCTTCAGTGCTGTTTCTGTTTTTCTCACTTGGATTATATTCAGTCAAATCTGTTTGTTTAACCTTTTTAACATCCTGAATTAACTGGAATCTTTTCTACCTGCTGCCTCTGTGCCGAGCTTAAAGCTCACCTTTAAACAAGTGAGAACTTTTAAAAAACGACATCTGGTTTTTACTTTTGATGTTGTTTTGTGCTGACATGGTAATACATATAACATATTTATCTGAGGAGGAGCTGAAGGAGTGAATTTATTAGTTCAGTGAACTCAGTTTTACATTTGAAATGCAGAAGTTTTTTTCATGTATTTAATTTTTTCCAATGCAATACATACTACAGTAGTCCCTCGCTACTTTGCGGTTCGTTTTTCGCAGAATCACGGTTTTTCAAAATAAGATTGGACATGACACACAATTGGCTGATGGATGTGTTGCACACTTGGTATGGGTTTTTTATTTAAAATAAAATTATTTTAAATGATTTAGTACATGTGTACAACCCATGGCAGCACGGTGGTGCAACTGGTAGAGCTGCTGCCTCTCAGCGAGCAGGTCCTTGGTTCAAACCCCGGTCCAGGGGCCTT